GGAGCAGCCACCGCACTCCAGTCTGGGTGACAGAGTGAGACTCCAACTCAAAAAAAAAGATAAATTAAAGAAAGATGGGTGGAGGGAGGGAGAGAGAGAAACAGAGAGAGGCAGCCAGAGTAGGGGGTGGGGGAAGCAAGAAAGAGGCAGAGAAGGAAAGAAGAAATGGAGGAGATGAGCCAGGCTTGGTGGCGAGCATCTGTAGTTCCAGTTACTTGGAAGGCTGAGACCGAAGAATCACCTAAGCCCAGCAGGTCAAGGGTGCGGTGGCTGTGAGTGTGCTGCTGCACTCCAGCCTGAGAGACAGAGTGAGACAGCAACTCAGAAAAGAAAGAAAGAAAGAGAAAATCAAAAGAAATAGGGGAGGTAGCAAGAAATAGAGACAGAAGGGAGCTCAGCCCTTGCCAAAGAGCACCCACGCTGGGCTCACCACTGCACCCACACTGGGGGCTGGGGGACTTGGACTCTGCCTTCACTCCCACCCACTCTGGTTGCCCTGCACCCTGCACACTCCCATCTAAGACATTCTTACACATTCACCCTCTCTGTGTGCTTTTTACAGCTCACAATCCACTTTTGCACACATGTGCACTCACTCACATGCGCACACATAGTGTTACTTTCTCCCACACTCTCCCAGCCTCACACGCACTCTTACACATGCTCCAGCAGAGATCCCTGACATCCTTCAGGCGCTGAAGTCAACTCAGGGAAGGACGGGACTTGCCAAGGTCATGTGTCAGGGCAGCGGAGGGCTGGAGGGCCCCGCTCTCTGCTCCCATGCTGAACTGGGGGACTGCCCAGGTCTGACCTCTCTGTATTGCCATCTTGAGTCAGGGGTTACGGGGGCTGGGGAGGTACCGAGGAATATGCCTGGCATGTGCTGACAGGGGATTTCATGCTGCAGCTAGGCTGGGAGGAGCCTTCTGGGCAGAGGCTGGCGCTGGGGACTTGGGAGGGCAGCTGGGGGAGGCAGCAGTGTGGCGATGGCCCTCAAGCTGGGTCAGAGAAAGAAGCCCGGCTCTGTTACTGCACCCATCTCATCACTCTCCTGGACTCATGGGGCCTGCCAGGTTCTCCCTGAGGGACTGTGAGTGGTGAGAGAAAGAGAGAAGGGGCAAGGGCGGGGCGGGGGAGAGACAGACAGACAGACAGAGAGAGAGAGATGTCTTAGGGGAAGAAACATAGAAAGACAAGAAAGGAGTAGGGTGGGGGACTCAGAGAAAGAGCTTTAGACAGGGAGAGAAGTAGAAAGAGAAGGAGACGCAGAGGGATTGGAAGAGAGAGACAGAGGGACAGCAAGACAGAGATAGACATTCAGGGAGAGAGGAAAACAGGGAAAAAGTAAGAGATAGAAAGAAAAGCGGGAGGCAGAGACACAGAGAGAGGGACGGAGGGAAAGACAGAGGCAGACACAGGTGTCGGGCAATGAACAGTGTGGGAGCCGTGGTCAGAGGATCTGGGATGGCCCTGAGGGTCCCCCTCAGGGTTCCTCTGCTGCTCACGGGGCTGCTGACCGCAGGTGAGTGGGATCCTGTCCTTGTACTTAGTGTCAACGTCCCTCATCTCCCACCCATGTCCTCTGGACCCTTTCCAGCTGACCTCCTTGTGTTCCCAGGCCTGGCGCAGTTGCCGATTCCTGCCTCAGCCCCCCGAAGCTTCTGGGCCCTGTCTGAAAACTTGACGGCTGTGGAGGGGGCCTCAGTGGAATTGCGGTGTGGGGTCAGCGCCCCTGGCAGTGTGGTGCAATGGGCCAAAGATGGGCTACTCTTAGGCCCTGACCCTAGGATCCCGGGCTTCCCGAGGTACCACCTGGAAGGGGACCCTGCTAGAGGTAAGAGATCTGAGCCTCAGACCCGGCGCCGCCAGCAGACATTGTAGCCCTGACAGTGGGCTCCACCCACAGGTGAGTTCCACCTGCACATCGAAGCATGTGACCTCAGTGACGACGCAGAATATGAGTGCCAGGTCAGCCGCTCGGAGATAGGCCCTGAGCTCGTGTCTCCCAGAGTGATCCTCTCCATCCTGGGTATGGGTGAGAGACCCCCAGGACCTACTGATTCTGGGCTCCCAGCCCGTTTCCATCCTAGGACCCAGGAGTCCCCGGGTCTCTTCTCCCTCAGATCCTGGGTACAGGATTCATTTCATGAGCAAAGAGACTCAAAGTCTAAATCCTCACACCCTTCTCAGTGGTGAAGGCTTACCCCAGGCCCCTTCTCACCAGTTCCTCCCAAGGTGCTTCAGCTGACGCCGGAGGCAGGGAGCACAGTTACCTGGGTAGCTGGGCACGAGTATGAGGTCAGCTGCGTGTCTGGGGATGCAAAGCCAGCACCTGACATCACCTTCCTCCAGAGTGAGTGTGGGTGCATGGGCGGGGACAGCATGAATCTTCTGGAATGGGGAGGGGGTGTGTTCCTGCCCAGCACCCTCTTAGGGGCCCCGGAAAATATGTTCTCCCTGAGATGGGGACCCAGGAGCAGGTGTGGGTGAGGTGAGGCCAGTGTGGGACCTGCCGGATGGGAAGGCGCTTCCAGGGGGAGGCATCTGGGAGATGGCAAGACTGCTGACCTGGGACTCAGGAGTGAGGCCGAGGCTCAGACGGAGATATGGGTGGCAGCAGTAGTGCAGAAATGAGAAGCAGGGGGGGATGCGGGTGCATGGTATGACCCAGCAAGGAGGTGAGGGGAGTGCGGAGGCTCTGGACCCAGGCCTGAGGACTCCAGCATTTAGGGAGTCCTGAATGTGTGGAGGGGATGGAGCTGGGGCCCAGGCCCTTTTCCTTCGGAACCAGGAGGGAAGAGGCATCGTGTCCATCCTGAGGACTTCCAGGCCATGCTCCCCAGGATCTACCTTGGGGGGAACCTGGCGCTCCTTCACCCTCTTGTTGCCCCCAGGTGGACAACCAATACCTGACATCTCTGCTAATGTGAACGAGGGGTCCCAGGAGAAATTCTTCACTATGGAGGCCACAGCCAGGTGTGGAAGTTGGGAGACATCCCAGATCCCCAGATTTCCCCATGAGAAGCCCATAGCTCAGGGATTCGGGGATGGAAACCTGGGTTAGGTATGAACATCTGGGACTCAATTCTTTACCCTGACTCTCAAAACTTCTTCATGGAAACTCCGGTTCCAGGGTATCAAGCACAAAGATTTTGGCCAGGTGTGGGTCTCCCGGGAGCCCTAATTCTCACTGGTGACCCCTAAATATCTCCCACTGAACTCCAGATCCCAGAGGAAATCAGCATGGGTGTAGGGACCTGGGATCCCCATCTTTTTACCCTGACTCCCCAGATTTCAGATGATGACTCTGACTCTAGAACCCCAACTTCCCATCACAGGGTGACACCTCAGAGCTCAGATAATGGGCAGTTACTGGTCTGTGAGGGGTCCAGCCCAGCTTTGGACACCCCCATCAAGGTCGCATTCACCATGAATGTTCTGTGTAAGTGGAGAACTAAGCCAGTTATGGGCACTGAGGATGGGGAACAGGAATTTGGGGTCCTAGGGGATCACAGGGATTTTGGAAAATTCAGACACTCAGAGGAGAAATGTGGGGGTTCAGAGGCAGGTTATGGGGCCTTGAAGAGTGGATGGGGTCTCCAGACCCACTGAGTGACTGCGGCTTCCCAGTTCCCCCAGGACCTCCTGTTATCGAGTGGCCGGGCCTGGACGAGGGCCATGTTCGGGAAGGGCAGAGCTTAAAGCTGCCGTGTGTGGCCCGAGGGGGGAATCCCTTAGCAACCCTGCAGTGGCTGAAGGTGAGGACAGAGGCAGGAACGAGGGTTGGGGAGGCAGGGGCCAGGAGCTGGCCTTGAGTTGGCCCAGGCCTATCCCTGTCTCCAGAATGGCCAGCCCGTGTCCACAGTGTGGGGCACGGAGCACACCCAGGCGGTGGCCCGCAGTGTGCTAGTGATGACCGTGAGGCCAGAAGACCACGGTGCGCGGCTCAGCTGCGAGGCCTACAACAGCATATCTACAGGGACCCAGGAGCACAGCGTCACGCTGCAGGTCACCTGTGAGTACCAGCTGCCCATCTGTCAGTCCATGCCCCAGAGAAGCACCTGTTTGTGTCCCCAGATTATGCCTATCTGATGCCAAAAACCTCATCCTCTGTTCCAAGTTCCTTATCAGTCTCTCTGGGCTGGTCTGTGAAGAACCCAGTCCAGCCTAGCATCTTTCCTATGTCCATCTGCCCCTGCAGTTCCTCCCAGTGCCATTACCATCCTGGGATCTGCATCCCAGTCTGAGAACAGGAATGTGACGCTGTCTTGTATCACCAAGTCCAGTCGCCCGCGGGTTCTGCTGCGATGGTGGCTGGGCTGGCGGCAGCTGCAGCCCACGGAGGAAACAGTCATGGATGTGAGGCGGGGCCGGTCTCCTGAGTCTGAATGAGGAGGGGGCTGAGGGCGTGACTTATGGAGCTGGGAGGAGAGGGGTCTGGCAGCCTGGAGCCTTTGGTCCTTGAGGAGCACAGGCCTGACAGAGGAGAGGGTGGAGATGTTTCATGCGTCACTGCTGGGCTCTGGGGTGGACCCAGGCCTCTGGTATCAGGATGAGAGTACCCCAGTCTCCAGGTCTGAAGCTCACTTCCTGCCAGGGACTGCATGGCGGCCATATCTCCATGTCCAATCTGACATTCCTGGTGCGGCGGGAGGACAACGGTCTGACTCTCACATGTGAGGCCTTCAGTGAAGCCTTCACCAAGGAGACCTTCAAAAAGTCACTCACACTGAATGTAAAATGTGAGCCTCTTCCCTAGCCCAGAAAATGCCCTCAGGCCCCAGAGATCCTGCCATCAGGTCCCAGCTAGCTGTAAAAGTCACTCTTCCTGCTTCTCTCCCCAGATCCTGCCCAGAAGCTATGGATTGAGGGACCCCCAGAGGGTCAGAGCCTCCGGGCTGGGACCCGGGTGAGGCTGGTGTGTTTGGCCATCGGGGGCAACCCGGACCCCTCCCTAATCTGGTACAAGGTTGGTGCCAAGCAAGGACTGTGGGGTGACCAGGGATGTGGAGGAAGGACGAGGCCCCTTCTCTCCTTCAGAATCTTGGAAAAAACCTGAATTTCTTGAAAAATACTGGAGATTCTGAGTTTTAGCAGAGAATCAGAAAATATACAAATGCTATGAGAATTAAATGGAATCCCAGGAAAATTCTCGAAATTCTGGGAAAACAGTGAGACTTCTAGGTTAAAAATTGGAATTTGGAATCAAGATTAGGAATTCTAGAGAAAAGGTAATTAATTCGATTAAAATAAAAAAAATTCTGGTGAGAATTTCAGAATTCAGGTAAAATGTCAGAAATTTTAGAGAAGATTAGGGGCTCCAGGAACAAAGACAAAGATATTCTGGGTAGAGGCTAGAAATTTTGGAGAAAAACTAGTAATTTCACAGAACATTGTAAATTCATTAATATTAATTAACTTGAGTTGTTGGGATTTGGGGGTAAGAAAATGAAATTCCATTAAAATTAAAGGGAATTCTGGGGAAATCCTGGGACGTTAGGGAGCTAGTGGAAGTTGTGGGAGAAAGGTTAGACTTATAGGAATGGCAATGAAATTCCATTTTAGTTGGATAGAACTCTAGGGAAATGTCAAGAATTTGGCCAATACAAAGAAATCTAGTAAAAGACTCAGATCATAAGACAATATTGGGAAAGTTTCAGAAATCTGTGGAAAGACACTGGAACTAAGGGAAAGGTCAAAGGAAACCTTTGGGGAAAATGGGAATTTTAAGAAAAAGAACTGAAGATTAACAAACAAACAAACAAAAACAGCCCGGTTCGGTGGCTCAGCCTGTAATCCCACGCTTTGGGAGCCAAGGTGAGTGAATTGCCTGAGTCCGCGGTTCGAGACCCTGGGCAACTTGGCGAGAACGCGTCTCTACAATAAATCAAAAAATTAGCCGGGTGTGGTAGCGCGCTCCTGTAGCTCCAGCTCCTTGGAAGGCTGAGGCAGAAGGATCGCCGGAGCCCAGCAGGTCGAGGCTGCGGGGGCCGTGAGCGGTCACTGCACTCCAGTCTGGGCAACAGAGTGAGACTCTAACTCAAAAAAAAAAAGAAGAAGGAGGAGGAAGAGGATTGGGTGCAGTGGCTCACGCCTGTAATCCCAGCACTTTAGGAGGCAGAGGAGGGAGGATTGCTTGAGCTCAGGAGTTCAAGATCAGCCTGGGTGGATCGAGACCTCCCCAAAAAAAAAAAAAAAAAATTAGCCAGCCATAGTGGTGGGCGTCTGGGGAGGCAGAGCCATGACCACGCCACTGCACTCCAGCCTGGGTGATGGAGTGAGACTCCAACTCAAACAAACAAAAAGGAATTCTAGGAAAGTCTTGGTCATTTTAAGGGAGTTTCCTGGTACGTGGGTTGTAAACACAGCAGGGATTGATTCTGAGGAATGCGACAGAGGGTCGGCAGGTGGCTGGGGAGGCGGGCCGGAGTTGGGGCGTGGGACGGGACACGGGATCAGGGAGCAAAAGCTGCCGGCACAGGGGGCCCGGGGGAGGCGGGAGAGACTCCACTCCACTCCCCACTGCTGTGCCCCAGCCTGGTGCCCGCTGGTGGGGGTGCCTTTTCCTTTCTCCAGAAAGGCCTGGCCTGAGCTGGCGGCGACCCACCCAGTGGGGGCGTCTCTGGGTGGTGGGAAGGGGCAGCGATACCCGCGGTCCTCCCGTCATTCCCGGCCCTCAGGACGCGCGCACCGTGACCGAGTCGCGGCAGCTCCAGGAGCCGCGGCCGGTGCAGCTGGGAAGCCTGGAGAAGTCCGGGAGCACCTTCTCCCGCGAGCTGGTGCTGATCACCCGTCCGTCGGACAACCAGGCCACGTTCACGTGCAGGGCGGGCCTGCTCCGAGCGTCCACGCGGCTCGCG